CTTTTCCCCCAAAGTACTCACAGGAATTGCTGAGAGGGGAGTGAGGAAACCCAAATTAAGTGCAAGCACTTACTTAATTATTAAATTTAGAAGTGGGAAGGGGAATGGAGATCCACCAATGACTGTACCTGCCTAGAGCCAAACTTGCAACGTCTGTCCTGGGCAAGATCAAGTCAAAGACTGGAGATCACGGTCCAGGACGGGCGTGGCAACTTTGGCTGACTTGATCTGATTGGGCAGGAATACAGTCTACTACCCAATGGTGGAGTCTCCATCTCAGTGCTGGAGAATACCATGTTATTGTATTTTGCTGCCCACTGCTAAACTGTGTTTGCATGAATAGGTTTTCTCTACTATTCCAGACTGATTTGTGTTTATATATACTGCATATAATTATAGAATTTAAATTTTACATAAGTAAAGTAAGTCATTTGGTTGCATCCAGCAATTTTGTTTCATTAATTAAATTAAATGAAATTCAAATATAAAATAAAATATAACTAGTCTTTTTTTGGAAAGAAAGATTTAATTCATAAAATTAAACAAATATTCATCAGCCCTATATTTGGGATGTACTTTTAGCAATAGCATGTTTTCATTTGATTAATAATTATCTTATTATGGTCATGAAATGGCTAATAAGCAAAAGATGTTATCTGATGTATCAATTTACATAGTGGTTCAAACTTTTAATGAAAAACACTTGCTGGATACAGATTGGTTTTTTTTTAAATGTTGACAAACAGAGATGAAAAAGAAGTAAAATGAAATAACAAAACCTAGACAACACATCAAGCTGATGAAATTGTACTGCACCTTCTTTCTGCTTTTGGCTAATTTCTGGGCCATCTGCTTAGCATGAAATAAATAAAGAAAGGAGAATAGTTAGCTAACATCTTGTAGAGACTCTATGTCAACCAGGGATCAATAACAGTACACCTGTTTGTCACCTAGTTAAAGTGTATGTACAGTACATTAGAACAGCTTTTCCAGCCTACAGTCTGCCAGATATGTTATATTACAACTTTTATACATTTCAACCAACATGGCTCTTGGTATTGACTAGGAATTAGTTGACTAGGAACTACTGTATTTGCAGTACAATACATCAATATAATTATTTTTCAATATTGGAACTTTAAGATGTGTAGACTTCATCTTCAACATTCTTTACCTTCAACACCAACACTATGAAATAATACTAGCAACAATCACTGGATATTATTTCTCCAGAGGCTACCTGAAATAAACTTAGTTGGAGGGTTTACTATGTTGATCCCTTTCTCACTGCAAGGAGAATCTTATTAGTTTAAACTTACTCCTTAAGCACTGTGGCCTCTTTATTGAGCGGAATTCAATAAATGTCACCCACGAGATTATTTTCAAAATGAGGACATTGGTACAAACCAATTCCAAACCAAACAAAAACAAATAAAAACACTTTTGGTCTGCTTTAGATATGTCTTCACGTCACAATGTGAAATCAAACAATTATTTTGAATAGCAAATTACATACTAAAAAACCAAATAAAGTTTATTTTGATAACATTCTAGACATGGGGAGTGAATTATTTCCTGAGTTTTAATAAAATAATTTATTTAGTCCTGTTTACTTGATTTATATACAGCCTGGCAACCTCAAAGCACACGGAGAGCTCCTTCCTCCTCTTTTCCCCTCACAATTAACCATCTCGAGAAGGATTGGCTGAGAGAGAATGATTGACCCAAAGCTCCTGCTGTTAGAATCTGGGTCTCCTTGCTCCTTATCTACATCACTACATACATACATCACTATGCACACTACATACATGTATATATAGACAACATACATTTGTCACCTATACGTGCTGTTATAGGTGACAAATGTGTTTCTATGAATGCAAGCCAAAAGTATCATCCAATATTGTTGCTCATCATGCAGTGAAATTCCAGATTCTGATTTCTAAGCAACAGATTACCAGAAGAGTTTTTTTTACTAGTGAAAGGAGTTTAACTATTAAGTAAGGCTGATTAGACTGTGTGGAGTTTGCTGAGGAAGACACACAAAGAAGTAGATGCAAATGGAAGCGTTTTTAGAGGGTAAGTTTTAATTTATGATACACTGCCTTCCCCATCTGCTCCCATTGCATACAGGAGTTTGTGTGCTTCCCCTTTCCACATAAACAAGAAGAAACAGATCACATGAAAATATACTGTATTTGTTAATGGAGCTACTTTCTTAATTCCAAGAGAATGAGAATTAGATTAGATTAAATTTTGTATAACTTAATAGACTGATAATGCACCAAAAATTAAGAAACAAGTCATCTTGCAATTTAGCTCTAGTTTGAAGTCAATGTATTATTTATAATGTCTCATCTGTTGTATGGTGGTTGATGAAGAACTTACAGCAAAACAATATGAACAAAGCCGATTTTGATTTCAAAAGAACCTCCAATATTTAGCAGTATTTCATCTTTTTTCCCCAGAGAGCATTCAAGTCTAACAGAACCACATGACAGTCGCTTGTCATACAAAATTATACAAAATAAAAGTACGACTTATTTCTATGTTAGTAACTATTTGAGGTACTTTGTATGAAATTTTAGTTTTGTGCAATTTTTGACAATGCGAAACAATTCGATGTATAAATATGTACTGCTTTTAACTTGTAACATATTTCAGTATTTGTTGTATTGCCCAAATTCCAGCCAAGGCTAAGCATTTTAAGCATCTATTTGTTTTAAGCTTCACAAAATTAATGAGGTTTAAGGAAAACTTGCTGGACTGAGCAGTATTTATAACATTTCTAGCATTAGTTTTTTTGAAAAAGATAGGTTAATCTCCAAAACTACTTTTATACTTTTAAGATTCAAAAACCTTAATCTTGCTAAAGTTAAACCACTAATGGTTTGAATGCTAATGAGCTTTGAATATGTCACCAGCAAAGCAGAACTCAATGTAAGATAAAATGGAGTGGAATTTTGCATGTTCTTATTAATTCATCGTGCATTTTATAGGCACTAATGGATGACCTGAAGAGCTCAAATTTCATGTCAAGGTTAAATCGCGTTTATAGAAACCAAACGTTGCCATTATTTGCATATATTTTATACCATTTTTAATTCTGCAGTAAGAGAGTAAGTACTCTGCTGATTTGCTACAGTACTTTTGTTGTATAATATTTTAATTACCATTAAGATGCTCAGTGCCATAATCTAAATAGTTACCTCAAGATCCAAATGTATTATGTAAAAAGTTCTATTGAATATAAATTAATCCAATTTTATGAAACATCGTCTGAATTGTATTTCTTCTTTCCCTTGTATTTCCTGATTCACATACATGAATTCTGCATTCGTATAGTAATTTAGGTTGGAATATTCTGAAATTTGAGATTTGGCAGATCCCATTTTACTCCAGCAAGTTATATGGGGAAAAAAGTTGTTCTTTATCCGATGCCTCAATCCCCTTTTATGCCACATCAGTGATGTCTTGGCTTATTGTAATCCTATTGTATCTGAGAACCTGTCAATCATTTTTAGCAATTTTGATCTTCTGAGCCCAGCTGCTGTTAGCAAGAAAACAACTGTAGAAACAATATTCCCCTTTCCGATGAGCACTCCTTGTCTCTGGATAAAGAGCAAATAAATCTATTTGAATGTATCCGCTGCCCGCTGGACTCAATTATAACAAAATATTAATTTACAAATTATGAAAGCAGACTGGGCATAAAAATAACAAACATGTCACTTCAATCATAGAACTACTTCCGGAGTATGTTTCAGTACAGAGACAAAGTATGGATTAGTCACAGTCGCAACTCGGGCATCAAGAAAGAGGCTGATTTTCACCTTAATACGGCTCACCGCTTCCTGAGCCTGCATCATTCTCACATTCTTGGATGGAGTTTTGTCCGAAAGGAGTTGAGTAGAGCCAAGATAATTGGCAGCAAATATGATTCCATCGATTAAATCTTCAGGATCACAAGGTCCTGGAACTACAGTATATATAAAAATTGAATTATTGGGCAAAATTATATTACTAACGGGAAAATAATAGAATATATTATTATCAGTACTAGCATATGCAGGCTACAAATGGAATTCTGGTGTGGCTGAAATTCATCATTCCCCAAAAAGATCTGATACAATCAGAAAAGAACACAATGACTATCTTCTCCATCACAGAGAAAACCCTTGATAAACTAATTTATTTTGACATTGGTTTGTTCTGTTGAGACAGAAGTGCCCCCTTAAGCAAAACAACCTGAATGGATTTTTTTACTCTCTTCCCATCTCAGAAAGGCAGAGAGCTCATTCATGCCTCTGCCCTAGCAATGCCCATTATTCTTTGGCCTTGATCATCCATCATTAGCGTGAAAGGAAAACAATACCAACTGATATTACCAAAGGTGCGGGCAAAAAAGGAAATTAAATACATGGCTACGTATTAGCTCCATGACATGGCCAATATTCACCTCAAACAATAGCAACAACCCATGGAGGATTAAATAGAAATAGACATTGATGGAAGTTTTCTAGGCATTGAAGACCTGGCTGTTTTCCTCAAGCGTTTGGGCCAGAGGTGAACTCTGATTACAATTGTTTTCTGTAAATTAAGATTATTGTTTTAACTGTTTTAATTTTGTACATCATGCAGAATCACTTCCATGAGATTGTGAGAGGGGGACATGTGAATAAATAAAAAATAACAATGTGTCACCGCAAAGTGGCTCTGACACAAACATCTATCTTAATTATGTATCTGACATAGTAATACAAATGCACCTTTTGAAATGTGTGCAGTAACTTGAAAAGGGCAGAGGGGAAGACGAAAATTCTAGTTTTTCTTGTTTTAGTTAGAAATGTTTATGCAACAGGATTAGCTGGACCATTACTGAGACATTATGAAGACTTCTGAAACCTTGTGCCCTGACCAAGAAAAGCCCCTCCTAGCTTTCTATGAGTAGAATGTATCCTTTCTCCAGACTGCCCAGTTTTTCAAACTTTATTCGCCACAAAAAAAGCCAGATTTTGGATTTTCAAAATTGTAACCATTTATTTTGTTATGTGCATGTGTGTGCATTGTCTTCATCTCAGTGTTGACTCCTGGTGATTGCCCGGACAAATCAAAAGTGATTTGCCATTGTTTCCTACCTAGGGCTGAGTGATTGCCCCAAGATTACCCAACTGGCTTTGTGACAAAGCAATAACTACAGGTAGTCCTTGAGTTATGAATGTAATGGAGCCTGCCCATTCCATTCGTAACTCGAGAATTCATGGGAGTGAATCTCGTACCTTGAACGAAATCACTCCCTGCTTTCGCCCACACAATCGCTAATCGAAATGTGTGGGCGAATGCGCAGTTCGTTAATGCACAAGGTGGGGAAGGCCATGGGGGGGCTAGTGATGGAACAGGCCCCCAAGGCCTCCCTGACCCACTAAGATACCTCTTGCTTCCCCCTCTTTCCCTGCCGCACCGGACTCACTTACCTTGCAAAAATCCGCTCTGCCATTGTTTCTCCTTTCTGTCGTTTTGAGGGAGAGGAGACTCGATGGAAACTCCTGGGTGCCATAATATCACATGAGTTTAGGCACCCATCCTCTTTTGCAGAGAATGGGTGCCTGAACTCTCGCAAAATCACGGACCCCAGAAACTTTGATTTTCGGGGCGAAAAGTGTTTGGGATGTCCGTTTCCTGCTCCCTCCCCAACTCTTTTTTGCCACCACCGGAACACTTTTTAGCCGGCAGAGACCTTGCGGAGGCTGGAAGCTCCATCTGGCTGCAAATGGGGTGTTTTGAAATGGAGCGTTTCAAAGCCCCCCATTTGCAGCCAAACGGAGCTTCCAGTCTCCCCAAAGTCTCTGTCCAGCTAAAAAGTTTTTGAGCACTTATGGAGTGCTTTGAAAATGAACGAAACAGAGTGTTTCAAAGAGCTCCATAGGCTTTCAAACACTTTTAGCCAGACAGAGACCTTAGGAGGCTGGAAGCTCCATCTGTGCAAATGGGGCCTTTTGAAACAGAGTGTTTCAAAGTGCCCCATTTGCAGCCAGACAGAGCTTCCAGCCTCCCCAAGATCTCCATCCGGCTAGAAAGTGTTCCGGCGATGGTGGAAATAAGTTGGGGGGCAGCAGAAGACAGGCATTCCAAACACTTTTTGCCCCGAAAATCAAAGTTTCTGGGGTCCGTGATCTCGTGAGAGTTCAGGCACCCATTCTCTGCAAAAGAAGATGGGTGCCTGAACTCACGTGATATTATGGCACCCAGGAGTTTCCACTGACTCTCCCTCAAAATGGCAGAGAGGAGAAACAGCGGCAGAGAGGATTTTTGCAAGGTAAATGAATCCGGCATGGCAGAATGGGCGGGGAAAACAGTTGTGGGGAGCGGAGGGGGAAGCAGTTATAGGGAGTGGGGGAGAACTAGGGTGAGTGTTGCAGAGCCTCTGTAGTCATTCATAAAGGCGAACAACTGCTGTGGTGCTGCAACATTCGTAATTTCGGGACTTGCTCATAAACACTAGAGGGCACTTATTGCGTAATTTCGAACGAGTGCTAAGTGAATGCTCGTAACTTGGGGATTACCTGTACTACTCATCTCGCCTAGTTTCAAGCCCAGTGCCTTAATCACTAGATCAAACTGGCTTTCCCAGTGATTCAGTTCTGCTTCTAAACCATAAAATGTACACATATACTTAGATGCAATCCTGGAGGGGGGGGAACTTACCTTGACTGTTGTATGGAACTCATACATTTATAAAGCACTACTTTCTAAAACATGTTTCAGTCTCAATGACATAAAATGATGGTAGTGTTCTACCAATAGGTAATTTATTTTATCAATAAGTGAATTAACTGGCTTGGTAATAGAAGAAAAAATAATGCACTTTTCTTTTGGTCCTACTGATATGAGAAAAGACAGTAAAAAATAAAATAACCCTCTCTGACTGATATAGTGTATAGCTTGATTTCAGAAGTAATTTGACATTTCTATTGTCCTCAGTGGAAGGAAAATTCACAGATGAAAAGGTAATATTCTCAAATACAACCAGGTGGCAAAGAACATCTACTTATGCATAGAAGAATACTATGAAGTATTGGAATTCTGAATTTATTAATTGTCTCATTTTCTGAGGCAGAATGCAGTATTGCAGTATTGTAGGCTAAGTCACTGTTCACTACCAGGAATTCGATCGTGATCGGCTCAAGATTGACTCAGCCTTCTATCCTTCTGAGGTCAATAAAATGAGGACCCAGATTGTTCGGAGCAATATGCTGACTCTATAAACTGCTTATAAACTATGTAAAGCATAGTCTAAGTGCTCCTGCTCTTCTGTTGAAAAAGTTATTTGCTTCTTCAGCAGTAGAATTTGTGACAGGGAAAACAGACTCTAGCAATTCATATAACTCTTCCACGTGCATCGGTGACATCAACTTGCTTAATACAATAATGCTTTCTACAAACACACGTCCAATGAAGTTGAGCAATTCACATTGTTCAATTCAATTATGGTACTTTTTTAAAACTTATAAAAAAGATAAGTGTTGATTGCTAATAAAGTTTACAATAGAAAAATGTTGGGGTAAAAGTCATATAAAGATAGATTTAAATTAAAACATCTATAAATATCTTCATATTTTTAATTGCTGCTAGCATCATTAAGAAATGCAAATTATCAACTTGGGAGTCCTCCTGGATCCACGGCTGACATTGGAAGACCATTTGTCGGCCGTGACCAGGGGGGCGTTTTATCAGGTCCGCCTGATCCACCAGTTGCGACCTTTTCTGGACCGGGACGCCTTGCGCACGGTCACTCACGCTCTCGTCACCTCTCGCCTGGACTACTGTAATGCTCTCTACATGGGGCTCCCTCTG